CAACAGCAATGACTACGCCCCAGAAGTCGCGCTTCCTAAAGACCTCCTTGAAAAGAATCGGGGCAATAACACAATTCGATATCAAGGCGACAACACCTAGGGGCGAGACAATCGACGCAGGTGCAAACCCATAAGCCAGGAAGTTGCCCATCTCACCAACTGTGATAAGGACCTGACCAAGCCACCAGTATGGCGATTTCAAGTATGATGATGAGACCTTGGACTCGTCGTCTCCAGAGTGTTCAGACCATCGCGAGTCACCGGACTGGAACGACTGTGCCAACGGATCAGATTCCTGCGCATCCTCCTCTTCCTGTCCTCCGTTCCTCGTAGGCCCGTCCCCGCTCGAGTCTACTGTGCCATAGCCTCCACCTCGTCCGTTCTGGGCATTCTTCAAGGCCTGCTTCGCCCGTAACCGGTTTTCCCGTCGCCGTCGGTGTAGTTGTATGTGCGCATATCTTTGAACATTGAGAGCAAGAGCAATGAGTATGTTGCCAACGATGGCCGTGACGATGCCAATGAGCGACGACCAATTTTCGAGTTTGCCTTTCTCTGGGTCGCCGGATGGCGTCGGGGATGGAAGGGCCGTCGTGTTTGACGGCGCATACGCTAGAGTAGATGAGGGCAGGAACATGATCCTGATCGTAGACGCGCCGCCGATGGCGGGCTCTTGATGATGGTCGACTTGCTTAAGTGGTGGTCCCCAGACAGATGCTCCAAGCTCTTGAGACTCGCGGCTGTATCATCTGTGTAGCATCAAATATCGCTGCTCAGTTTGCTAGTGCGGAGCGTTTTGATCGTAGCTTGCGCTGGCACAGAGCGCTTACGACGCATCAAAGAGAGCTCCTTGGGATAGTCGCACCAGACTGCGACGCCGATGAATTGTGTTTGCAGCAGAATGAACTGGAGACGTACTTTCGCCAGGATTATGCAAATGTTCGGGGTCCACTCCCTATGACAAGATTGCGCTGCCTGCCGGGGGGAGCTTGATAGCGCCAGCGCCGCCTTATCCGGCGAAGACGAGGGGCAACTGCACCTTCCCAGGTGGAGTGCTTCTACAACGTGCTTTTGAGACAACGGCTACGCAAAACGGCGCCGACGTACCTTCATTCCTCAATCAACCTAGTCTAACGGCATCAAAAGAACGCAACAGAGGCATCCGTCACTTTCGTATCGCCATCGGCGTCAAAGCGTGGTATCGCAAACTCTCGGGGGGAGACTGAGCACACCAGAAAGATGCCAGATGATGAATCGCCAAGAAACCCATTCGTGAGATTCAAACGGCACGTCGACTCTTCCATCGGACATACAATCGAGGGTGTCTTAGCTCTACCTTCAACAATTTCGCGACAAACCCCGACCGCCTGTAGCCGAAACCATCCAGAGCAGCAGCAATTACCTTCAAGTCAACAAGAAGAATCTCCTCATAAGACAGACACACAAATGGAAGTTCCGGATGTTCCCACAAGGGAGGCGATGGACTGGCCCACAGCTCGCCTCTGGCAGCGCTTTGTCTTGTACTCGCCATATTCTCCAATCAACCTTCGACATCTACCTCAACCTATTCCAAACGATCTTCCTCCGGATGTCGATCCAGATATATTCACATTTGAGGATGCCTTCGAGGACCTGTTATCCGAGGCTTCTGGGCGCCAAATGATGGACCTGAGGCGGCGAAGTGAGGCAAGACACTTGTTGCAAGAGATGTTCCCACAGGGCGAACCGGGATTCTTCTGGCTGCGAAGATTACAATCACAGGGGCTGCTTCATAAGGATTATCATGCGGCGCTTGACCATCCGCGGGTCGAGTGGGAGCGACCACGAACCATGGAGGAGTGGGTGGAACGAAGGCGACAAGAACTTATAAGAGACTGGGAAGATGCGAGAGATGCATCACCCAAGGAAGCAGGGCATGGCCCTTCGTGGAGTGATTGGTTTGACAAGGACATCACTATTAACTTTGGAGACATGGTTCGCAAGGCAGACCGTGCGTTTAAAGATTTGGCTCATGCAATCAATGAGGCGAGCCAGAATAACTCACAACCAGCTGATGCGTCAAAAGAACGAACCTCGTCTGAATCGAGTAGCAAGGAGCCAGAGACAGAGGGTGACCTCTTCTCTGTGATCAGCTCGGCGTTTGCCGATGCAGACAAGTCCCTCAGCACGTTCTTCAAGACCTTCACTGATGGAAGTGTCAAGACGGACTTCTCCACATCTTTTGAAAAGCAAGAGAAGTACTCAAACAGCGAAGGTGATGACAGTAAGTCCGAGAGGACTGTGAAGTCTACCGAGGAGCACGTTGACGAATATGGCAACCTCCATACTAAGACCGAAATCAAGAGATTGAGTGCTGATGGACAGGAAATTGGACGGGAGACACACTACTCAATACGGCCTGTTCCGCAAAATACAAAGGATAGCGAAGCAAATGGCGACGAGACAGAGCATATTCCGAGGAATGTTGAATCTCAGAAGCCCTCTGGTTGGTTCTGGAAATAAACGTGTAGGTTTCCTAACATAGTAACCCCCCTCTTTAACAACGGCTCTCAAATTTGCTGTTCGACATGGATCCGTTGAGTGATTGGAGTCTCCGCTCTCAGTATACAGATTGTCAAATGACACTTTAGCTGTCTATAGCTAATTCCAACAAGAAGTAAAATCTCATGCCTCTATGTGCCCATGTCGTATATTACCTTCCCAACCGTCTAACTCATTGAAATTTAACTTCATTACTACCGTATACCTCCGATATACCCAAGATGTCAATGTCATCAATTTCCTCAAATTTATTCCCGTTTCGTTTAGACATGATCTCGTACAAAGCTTTTCCTCACTTTCAGAACCCAGACTATAAAGAGTAGCCAGATCACCACGACACTGGCAAGACCACTAGCAGCAATGCCCTTGAATTGACCTGGCTTGCTCCACACAGCCGCCGACGCCCATCTGCCAATCTCCGCCGCGCTGATGAATGTCATCTCGACACCAGAGAACTCGACACGGTGAACAGCCTTAACCCGAGTCTGAACGATCTGCTGAACAGCGATATTGTGTGTCCAATGGCCCACCCTACTGAGCCCGAGGAACAGAAATATGAAGATAGTCAGCATTGGAAAGTTGGAGGCTGGGTCTGCCGAATCCGTTGGGACGAGGACAAGCGCAATGAAGCAGGGGATGAGTAGTATAAGTTGCGACGTAATCCCGGATAGGCCGAGCATAGCGATAGGTTCGGGCAGAAATCGCGAGGGAAACTTGGTTAGGAGCGTGGCTGCTGCTGGGAAGATTATGGTCGAGCCTATCTCCAGCACCGACGTGAGAGTCCGGGCGGATGTAATCAGTGAGAGCGAATAATGCCTAGTGAGGAGATAGGTGGTCATGGGTCCAGAGAGGGACAAGACCGAGAAGGACTGCAATGCAGCTGACATCGAAGCTGCGAACTGTCAGTTTGAGGCATCGGGTGATTACAACGAGGATCTTACCGAGCCAGGCATCGTTGCTGAAGTACAAAGCTAGACTACTCTTCCTCTCCACAACAGGAGCAGGATCTTCACTCTCTTCATCCTCACTAGGGCTATCAGTCTCCGGTTTCGAGTCTCTGGCTCTCTCCAGAACGCTACAGTGTTGCCAAGCGGTATTAGCAGTGACCAATTCTATGCCGACCGTGGATATGTTACTCGCAGCTGTAACAGCCGCGAGTACAGCAGAGCTTGTGCGTATTGCAATGACGGAGGCAAATACAGGGGCAAGAATCTTTGATATCAAATCAATTCTCCTCATAATAGCATTCAGCTCGTGCAATGGCGGCTTGGAATACTCTGATGCGATGGTTGGGATCCAGTCCCGCTCCATCACGAATGTGTTACCGACGGCGCATATTCTCTCGATGACGCTGCATAGGATGATGAGAGCAACTATGAAATCTTTAGAGAAGTGGGTTCCGACCACCTGCGTCATATCAGGGTTAGAGACCTCATATTCCTTGGCTTTAGGTCTTGGTGATAGGAATAGGATCATCCACAGCGCACAGGCTGCCACGATACTGATCCGCTGAATTAGGATTGTCGCCTTGATGGTCCCGAACTTAGAGGCATGGCGATCAACCCAATTCCCGATCGCTGGGGACAGCAAGAGAGTGGCTCCATTTGTCAAGACTCCTCTAATAGAGGTAGGCAATAATGTATCAGGATATGCTGCGGCAAAGAGTAGAATCTAGGTATAGTGATCAGTTCAGCATGTGAAGAGCAGAAGCTCGACGAGTTATTATCAAATAGAAGGCTTACCACCGTGAATTCGTATATCCTCATGTTCCATGTTGAAAGAAGATGAGACGCATATACACGCCATAGCAAAGACTTCTTGATGACACGCTGGTCATTGGGCCGATCCTGGTGACTCTATTGCATCTTAGAACCAGTTTGTTCGTGGAGCCTTGTGCACTTACGTCTAGTAACAGCGGGGTTGCCTCTCTTGCGATATCGCTCATCTCAAAGCAGAATACGCTACATAGGAGGGACGAATAATTGGTCCCTTCGATGATTTTCAGGGAAAGGGAATAGAAGGTATGATCAAACAATCATAGTCCTCCAACAGCTGAATGTTGGAAAGAGTGAGGTTGAAGTGCTAGTATGAATGTGCCCAAGATTGGCCCTTAGCCGCGACGCTACTGTATGTACGGCATCTTGTGGCTTACTTGGTTGGACTTCACAATATCAACTCTCGCACACCCCTGCACTAGCAAGGTACTAGACCGATTATAGATAAATGCTTGTTTACCACCCTGGCCTCGCCTTATAATGCCGTCTGGCAAGCTGAAAAGAGCCTCGCCACAATATAAACAAATCTTATGGATTCGTCTACTTCAATGACAATGCTCCCGAAGCTTCAATGGCGACTCCAACTTCACCAATATTCACACCCTTCAAGCAAGGCCCAGCTAAGGTAGAGAAC